TGATGTGGGGAGGGGATGCGAGGCGACGGGGGGAATAGGCGAGAATTGGTCAAATCCGCGCTCGAGGCGGCAGGTGATTGGGGGAAGATGGATAGACTACGGCGTCTAGAGCAGCGGTCTAAGGGGATAGCTTCCCACCGACGACGACGCCAAGAAAGGGAGAGACAGGAGTTCGTGATGGGGGTGATGGGGAAAGGACGGGGTTAGGTAAGAGATGATTTGATGGTGTCTCTTTTCTTCTTTTCCGCCAAGGTATCGACGGGTGCAACGGTGACTGGGGACAGGAACGGGGGTGGGCGGGTAATAAGGGAGATGTCAATCGGATTCTTGGTGCCGTACTTACAGGTTGAGGAGTTCATGCTGACGACGGGTTGCCGGCTGAGCGCCTGTGCTTGCTTTGGAGTTTGTAGTGGCAAAGATCAGATCGCTTCAGATCAGCGCCCGAATGTTGAGACGAAACACGCGAACCGAGCAGTGGTCGGGGATGCTGGTGGTGTGGTTTGTGCCGAATTCCTGGTTGGACGATGAATAACGTCGAAAGTGTCGACAGCACACGACAACAGGCACACAGCAATATACGAAGAATACCGTGGCGCGGCGATGGGAGAGGCCTCCTTGGCAAAGGGTGGTAGTATTGATCGGACAATACCCGCTGCCGGCCGGAGATGAGCAAAAACGGGGCTCCGGTTGGCGATGGTGAGATTGACAAGCGGGAAGACAAGCCAACACACAGCAAGACGCGCAAGCCAAGACTCGTTGTCAACTGGGGCTAAGGGGACTGCGGTGTAGACGGCGACGTGTCGGCCGTTTGTGTGCCTGCAGATGCGATTCGGGCTGTGTCTCCTTCGGATGGAGGAAACGTCGGCCAAGAGGCGAAAAAAGTGATCGGGTGGCCACCGGTGGTCCTGGTTAGTCGCGACGGCGGTTGTAGTAACCTAGCGCTATGCACCCTCGGAGTGACAGATTGAGGCTGTGTCTGCGGAAAAGTGGGCAAGCTCTGGAACGAGTGCGAGTCGTGCGTTGCTTGCGAGTAGGTAGGTTAAGGTAAGGTAGGTAGGTATTCACTTGTCCGGAAGATGCGCAGTATCCGTAATCCGTAAGGTAGGTACCGTACCGTAGACTGCCTTGCCAAACGTAATGTTGTCGGGCTTAGCTGGGCAGTGTGCGGTGCTTGCTGCTGCGAACAAAGCTTATGAAGCTAAGGTAGCAGACGGATACCGGGGCGGTGGAGGGGTGGGTGGTCGTGGGAAATGGGAAAAGGAAGAGAAGAAAAGGATGGGATGAAAAACGAAGGGTGCCAAGAAGTAATTAAGCATCGACTCCTGGACGAGTGAGTGGACGATGAGGATCATTGTTTTCTTTGGCCGGTGCAGGTGCAGAGGACCTCCCTCGTCCACCATCCATCCACCAGTTTCAAGGGACAACGGGGGACTCCAGACTCCTACGTCAGTCCACTCTAAAGTGCCCCCAAAGGCCCAAAGAGCCAAAGAAGGCCTGCTTGCGCTACCACGTCGACGCGCAGCGCTAATTTCCCTGAATCGACTCCGTCACTTTCGCCTATCCCGTTCTGTGCAACAAGCGTGTCGCTCCCTACCAGTCTTTTCTTCTGATCCAATGCCGTTGCGCCAGGCCATCGCTTAAGCGGGGCCCGCCATTTAACGCCCCTTTTCGCTTTAATGTTTTTTCGACTCTACGAACCATTGGCTGCTATTGCTCCTTGGGATGATGGAATCCCGTGTGTGTGTGTTTGTTTTCTGTGCGCGCAATTGAGTTGGGCACGGAGAAAATGGAGAGCTTCGATGAGCAGAAGAGAAAAAAGAAAAGAGAAGAAAATGAATAGAAGAGGGCATGTCGTCAGAGACCCCCGGCGACGTGCCAAGACGCGCCACTTGCCCCGAATCCCACTCACCACAGCAGAAACCGCCCAAAACAAGCTTCGCCAAGGAACGTAACACCACGGCCAAGCACACTCAAGCACCGAGCAAATCCCCTGCCAAGTCGATCTGTTCTCTTGGCTATTGCTTCTTTTCTCAGTCGCCTCATTAAACAGAATAATTGTCCGAAGGGAATCAACTGCACAGGATTGAAACTGCAAATGCCGACCGTTGGCAACGAATATGGTCGCCCAACCTGCGGCCCAAAATGGGGATATGGTGGCGTTGAGCTCTGATGGTCTTTGTCTCGACTACACCTGAAATCGAGGCTGCATGCAGAATGACATCAGCCACAGCACAAGCACGCGCGCACTCTTCGGAGTAGCCAGCCACAAGCTTCCAAGACACACCACCACCACCACCACCAACGCTTTCCCCCTCTCCTTGGGGCCAGACCGTCATGGACGACGACTCGTCGACGCATTGCAAAGCTGACAACATGCTTTCTGGTCCGATATCCATCATCAGCGCAAACCGGATTCCGAGCCTGAACGAGGCACAAGTTCGATGGGTGGATGGACAGGGGTAGACGAAGCTTGACAGCAAAGGCACATCTCCCGTAAGCCCAACTCAAATACCGCGACATCGCCTCGTTCAAGCCCTCGCCCACAACAAAAGCTCATCCTTCGAATGGCAAGATCCGTCCGATGCCCTGGGTAGAGTTTCGACAAGCCTCGCGGAGACGCGGGAAGGCTTGTTGTCAGGTGGACTGGGGTTTTTGGCCTAAAAAAGATGCGTAAATTCGATAGCCAGCCATTTCCTTCCCGCCCGCAATTGCCCAAGCCACGGTGCCACGGGTTTGGCTCTAAATTGCTGAGCGTAAGTGGCGCCGCCGGCTGCTGGCCTCCCGCATCCCGATCGAGGGATGCCATGGGGTCATGTGACGCCACAACCCGACAACACTCAAAGCTGCGGATGTTTCCGATCGTGGCGCAGCTCGCTCTGGACCCGCTTCACGCAAGCCACACCGAGGCAGACATGGCACCGCCACGATTCTTCAGCGCCAGCTGCCTCTTGCACCCATCGCAGCAGATGCAGTGAAATCACTGTTATTGGTTTGCCAACACGATGAAGAATCCGGCTCCAAAACTCGATCATACTTTCCATCGAAACAACTGACATACATTTTAGTTCATTTGATTCTTGCTGTACTGAACGTAAGATTTCGCGTCCGCTCTCGATTGTTCCCGGTTTTAGAGACATCGACCGATGAAGCACAGAAAACGAAAATGAGTTGTTTCCAAATATCAAACAAGCAGACATCGGCGAACAACGTGCCAAACTTCAACACACTCGAGTGCCCCATTCAATGTACTATTCAACCTAACAAATTCGTCTGCCTCCCATCCGTTCGTAAATATCTAGATGATCCTACCCCGCTAGCATGCAGGACTCCGCGGACCAGAGGGGGGTTGGGAGAAGCTTGTGCTTGGCGAATGCTGGTATGATCAAGACGTATGCCTCATCCATGCTCGCCGCAAGCTTCTCGCCAGAGACGATTTCCGCGATCGACTTGAAAACAGAGTTTTCGAACAGTCTCTCGCGAACTTCACCCTTTCGATATATCTCCTGCGTTTTCCCGTTGACCTCGTCGATCTGCGAGGTCAAGGCGAGCATGAAGATTGAAAATAACTCTTGAGCATATTCGAAAGCTTCTGTCACTTCTGAGTACTTGGAGATCCACAGCTCCTCAACTTGATCTGATGGGTCTCTATGCGTCTATGTCAGTTATGAATCCCTACATCGGAACGTTGCTTGATACTCACGCGCATGATGAAAGAAACATGCCAAGATACGATCCAGAGGGGGGTCTTCTGGCGTTTCTAATACTTGGTTGCTTCTGCTCTTTGCCTGTAGGCTGCATCATTTTTCGCAAGATTGGCAAACACGACCTTTCGACGTCATATTCAAGCCACGTCTGAATCGTCTGAGCAAGGCTCTTGGCTTCTTGCTCTGCCGCGTGACCGATAATGCGTTGGAGGCGTCCATCATCGAAATCAGGAAGCTCCTCGGATACCTTTTTGGCAGCTTTTTCTTTGTCATCGGCGCACATCCATCGAAATGTGTTGGTGTAAAATGACAGTGATATGGAAGCCTGCAGCCGAGGACGACCTAACATGACCCATGGTTCATGGGGATATCGCTGGATAATCATCGGAAAGCGTTGCTGTGCCGTTTTTTGCTCGCGGTACTCCGAACGACGGCCTTCGCGGATGTCAAACTCCCAACACATTTGAAGTGGCCCATCCAAGTCCTTATTCTTGAGGAGTGCTTGAACCGGTTGTTTCCAAACAACCCCGTTTGTGCTGTCCAACACAGCCATCACTTTTTCAACGACTCGACAGAGCACCGACGCAGCTTCCTCGGAGTCACGGTCTCCAGCAGTGTCGCTTGATTTACGGATGCGAGAGGCTATCTTCTCATAAATTTCCGGTGCGCTTCCGATGCTGGGACTCTGGTGATCGGAAGACTTCAACGAAGCTCCCGTCCGGAATTCGACGCTCACTTTTAATGGGCCCCTCACTTGTTGGAGTAGGTCGGAGGAACAGCCGCTTTTGTTTCTGTTGTACGAATCAGCCGTCTTTGAAGGTTGTGGACTTTCGACCTCCACCCAGTCCGCCGTAACACCAGCCTTTCGAGCCTTTACAGCAGCCTGTACAGCAGCCTTTCGAGAATGATCGGAAATAAGTTCCCAAAAGAAGTGATCATTCTGATCGTTAACGCTCTTCTTGGGAACCGTCTTGGCACAGAGAAGTGCGATCACGGACTCATACCATCGATGATGGCTTTTCTCAGGCTTTGCCGCCTCGGATCTGAGAAGGAGGGTGAGCCATGCCATTTCGTGGCCTTGTAGGGTAAGATCTGATGTCTCTGGGTTCCAGGCAAGACATCTTCTCGCCCAGGCTCGAAGGCCTGTCATTGCAATGGTCACTACTAGTTGAAGAATCGTGGCTGACCAATGGAGCGTCCGAAGCCCAAAAAACTGAACAATGTATCCAGATAAAGTGAGAAAAGTCGCCGCAGCAGCTCGGGCCCTATAAAAGTTATTATGAGAACTTCAACCATTCAGGATGTCTCATACCGGGCAGGTCCATGCTTCGAATCACCTCTTCGCGAGGTTCTTAGTATTCCATCACCCTCGGCAAGAAATATCGCACACGATGGGATGTTTTGGTCGCCGATGGTTGAAGCCTCCTGCAGGCATAGAATTCTCCGGCCTGCGTTCTTCGAATCTTTTGAAAGAGCGAATTCAATCTCCTGCGTGGCGCCCTCAATGACGTGACCACATAATATCACACCTATCGTCAAGCATACAGTGCCCGCAGCAAAGCACGGGTAACCATATTCGACTATAGGCAGACCACCTTTGCTCCACTTGAAATAATATGTCGCCAGTCCAGGGTAAACAGTCGCTGCCGCTTGCAGAATCATCCCGATGACTGCCAAGGACCACATTTCTGATTTTTTGGGAGGCGCGGACTGGGTGTTCAGTGTCAGGTTCGTGGGTAGACTCAGTGCGATGTAGCTTTCATCTTCCTCGAGGGTTTCTTCACGGAATCTATTCCCTTCGTTTTCGATCATTCGTTCTTTGTAAGCCTTAGGGAGAGTATCGATGGTGCCGTCGCGTGAGATAACACAAGTTATCACTCCTTTGGGTTCTCCAATCAAACGTACAATCTGCTGGCCGTTATATAGTTCGCACACATTTGGGGATGTTGACGACAGAAGATCTCGTTCAGCAACCGCCCGAGTTTCTCGTCCCCTGAATTCAGTGAAAGTTTATCAGATCGAAAGCCCTTCAAGACAGAATTCCGGGGAACTTACCGCCCAACAAGACGTTTTAGACACCGACAGCCGCCGATACGAATTGCGCTCAGAACGATTGTGATGATTCCAACGGGACCCATGGCCAGAAGAAAATTATCTGCCCAGCCCATGCTCATACTGAAAAACTGTGCAACGATTTCTTCTCCGAAGAGAGCAAGAAGGGGGGCCAGATCACTGAAGAGATTGGTTGAAAACCCCTCAGCGTCGAATTCGCCAGCCGCGGCCATTGTGATTGAGCTCTGAAAGAAGTCTGCAAGTGATCAGAAAGCGATGATGATGTTGTTTTGTTGAGGTTTAATGTGACAACGCATCTGCATATGGAGTCGAGAAGCGTTTTCTATTTCACCACTCGTTTCAAGGCGCACTTCCCTTCCTAATTGGAATAATCTCAGCCGTTTTTTATAGCCAAGACATCAGCTGGCGCAAAATCTGCCCACTCTTACCAGAAGCAGCCAGCGGCCGAGACATATGACACAACCTACCAGCTTCAATGAGCGGTATTTTTCACTTCATACGGATAGCCTTGCCCATTCCCTCTCCCTTCTAAATGATCAAAAGCTGACACTGGTGGTCCAATGATGACCGGATCTGCCGATTGCATGCTGCGCTTCTCTCCCTTACACCACACCAAGCCCTGTTGCCTTCTGGAATTTCTAGCTCCCCAAGCTTTGGCATTCACCCTACACCTTACATATCTTCATAGTCATAGCCCTCCATTCAGCCCTGTCTCTAAGTTGAAAAGTCCAGGTCAGCCAGAAGCGCTGGGCTATCCAAAAGATACAAAACAGGGTTACAGAGGGATGTGAGACAATCAATGCTGGCGCTAGCAGAGCTGAGGCTGTGTGGCTAGCTGGAGGTCGAAGACTGGAGTGGTTTCAGACGCATCTGTTCCACCGGCAAATACCCTAAATGGACACATCCCCGAGATGTGTTGTATGATATTTGACGCATCTTCTCACTCAACCGCAGCAAGATGGTCGTATGACTCGCCCTCGAGTCTGATTGCCCATTCCTCTCTCACAAAATCTGAAAATGCCTCAGCATGTGCATGATCAAACTTTCGAGAACAGAAATTGCTTATTCCATGGTTGATAAAGCCTGAGTGGCGGAAGTTTTGTCAGTGTTGACCGGCTTTGTGTATTACTACCGCACGGGAATATGCGAAGTTTACAGGGCCTGAAACCAATATGTTGATTGACTTACAACCCATGTGAACGCTATCAGTTTGTGGTCAAGAAGGGAATTTTCGTGGAAGAATGCTCCAGAGTTCACTTGCTGAACATTCATCACAGAATACGTCACACTTTCTGGGTGAAAACCGCGGCGTAAGCAAATACAATATCGCTTGTGTCAGTTGGTCGTGAATCGTCAAGTTGGCTTTTGGGTACGCTTCCCGTATGCATGTCAGCCTTGACAAACAACAGGACACATCAAAGGAATTGACGACCTCAGTCATATTAAATCTAGCCCAAGCATCTCGCATCTCTGAAAACGGTGACTTTACGAGGGAAACCGTTAGAATTTAGAACCTTCTTGATAGCTCGAGTAGTCGCATCCCAGTTGTTACTCAAAGTGCAGTTGGTATCCTACCTCCCCCCAAAGTAAGATTAAGCTAGTTAATTCAGCCCAGAATTATCTCTTTCCAAATTGGCCCTGGTTCAAGTGACTCCTCCATGGCTGCTTGGAAGATCTGCGCGATGCCAACTCTCTCCGCTATAATGCCGACCCACTGTATCGACATGGCCCAGAAGAACCTGTGACCTTCAAGCTCTTTGAAATATTCTTCATTTGCTGGATTTCTGTTCATTTGTTCTCTAGCCTTTCTCCAAGCTCCTCTCCAATCCATCCAATCATAAGCAGATTTCCGGCACTCGGATCATGGATGATATGATAAGCTCGATTGGTTCCGACTCATCGGCGTGGATGTCAGTCAAAACTGCGTTCTGACACGCGGAGCCGCAACAGTTGCCGTTTCGATCGAATATGTCGATACTTCCTCGATCTTTGGAGAAATTGAAGTTAAAGTACACTGACACCGTCCAAAATTGCAACAGTGAAGAAGGATATTGAGCTTGATCAATGACATGCTGCTGTAGTGACGGTCTAGTGATTTCAGTGTTGCAAGAGAGCCTAGTCTTTTTGTTCTTTGGGATGAATAATCGTCTGCTACGATACCCTATTTCGTCTTCAGTCGCTTCCAGGAAGCCGGGATTTTGGTTGATATCCCAGATTCGCGAGACTTCTCCAGTCAAGGGCTCATACTTGTACCAAACGATCCAGGTTTGGTTTGAGAGCCAGTCGGTCTTGTTCTTTACGGCATTGCCAACTGAAATTTGTTCGAAATAAATACGCCCATGCCATCCAGTCCACGAGTAACTGGGGAAGCCACAACGGCGTTCGGCTGCGGCAGTTTCGAAATGCCCGCCGGCAACTGTGCTGAACAGCAGGTACAAATCGAGAGCTGCGACAGGCATCCCTTGAAAGAAGCCACATTTGCAACGGATGGACAACGCACGACAAATGCCAGCCACGGCATTGAAAATGTCTGATTCGTATGTCAATTTCCGTTTTGTGTAATGATATAGCATCATCGTCCACAGTTCATGAGTATCGATGTCGTCGTCCATCCAGAGGTCGTTCAACACAGATAAATAGCTCTCGTCAACTGATACGTTGTTGATCAACACTCTTCTTTCCGCGTCGTCTTCTCTCCAATAGCATTTTCGACACGAGTAGTAAGCTTGGCTATTGACGAATATAGTTCGTCGAGAAGACAGGAAATACTCCTGAAACCTGTCAAAGTCTGAGAGTCAATGCTCTGTCCGAGATAGAAAAACAAAATTAAATCAATGTAGCTCACGTCCATGCTCTTTCATAATACTGAGTCTGCGTCAGGTACGTGCTCATACTCTCAGTCAAGATCATACTGACTTCTGGAAGAACTTCGCTGACGTGTTGTGCACGTTGGCGTATGATACCCCAGCCAGGAATACCAGCGTTTGCGTCTTCACCACTTACAGCAATAAGAATAATGCTTCTTCAAATTTATTACGGTTCTAAGGGAAAAGGCGTTTACTTTGAAATTTATAGATATTATCCTCTTTTTCTTTAATAAACTAAGTGAAATTATTAGTATTTTTAAAATAGTAGTTATAGAAGTAATAAATATAGTATTATTTTAGTATTTTAGTAAAATAAGTTATAGTAATATAAAGAGGGAGATATTTACTCCTTATAACTAAAGTGATTTATACTCTCTTTATATACCCCTATAAGTAGCTATAAAGGTTTCTCTAGTTTAAGCTATCCTAGCTTTTAAATCTTTCCCTATAAAAGTTATATAGCAGTTAATAAAGTACGCCTCCAGGCGGCAAACTGCAAAGAAGAAAACTTAGAAGGGAAGAAAGAATCGTACAGAACGCTCTGCTATAAATGGCATCCATGTGTTTAATGCCGGGGATCTTGTCATTGTCATCATCTTGGATCAGGCACAACGTGTCAATCCAGAGATATCTCTTCCCAACGGCTTCAGTGAACAAAACAACGTCTCTGAACGTACGAGGAAGCTTTCCCCAATTTCTAGTCAGACCATCAAATTTCATCAGGTCCTTGAAATTACCCTTCAAGAGACGATACGTGTCCACTTGACCCCAAACGTAGCTGAGAGCGACATATCTGATTGCATTTGGCATTGCGGCAATGCATCTCCGGGGTACATCGATAACGCGGAAATTCGGTACCTCAACCTCCGGTGTTGAGTGATGTGGCAAGCAGGATGAGTGATGTTCTGAGCAAGTGCTCAACCATGTTTTAACACGGGAGATGTCGATTCTTTCATCAAGAACTCTGTTTCTTATGTCGAGAAAGGCGATCTGAGTCCCCATTGGGAAGTCCACACAGTCAAAGAAAACCGCTGCTTTCCCCCACTTGATCTTTACATTGGAGTCATCTGGGAGGTCCTGTCTGAGTCCCTCACAGATCAGCCGACATAAGGGGCAGTAGCCTCGGCCGCGCACATCTGACGCTTTACCGAATGACCAAGATAGAGGCTTTTCGTTCCGCACACGTAAACGTAGATCTTCTTCCTGAGCATTCGCGTAGAGCTGCAGAAACGGAATGGTGGCACATATGTCGCAAAGTCTATTGTCGGGTGTCGATTCCATCTTGTCTGGTTTCATGTGCCATTCAAAGGAACGCTAATATTCGGGTGGTCGTATCTGGCAAGCCCCCTGTGTATATAAATGTCTCGTGCTCTGGTAGTGGCAGCCCAAATCCGTTAGGCTTACATGCAGAACGTTATGTGCGTAATATGTACTAGTAGCATCATGCATGGGTTTGTGACCTCTGACCTAGTACTCACTCATTACAATCCCTCAGCCTGATGTGCTGAGCGATCGTTCCAAGTACAAACCCCCATCATCGCTTACAAGTATTTCCCCACGTCCCTCCAGTGAGTTTCACCGTCGATTTCAATTTTCAAAGACCGTCTGCGGTCATTCAAGCCAATGTTTACTCAACATCTGTCGATGTCACATCCGTGGGTCAGCGACTGGAAATGTACTCCGTCATTATTGATTGGTCTCAACTGGTCTTGGCATGAGGTAGGCTGAAGGCAAGAGGGTGGGGATGAGAGCGGAATGAAACTGCAAGACCGACACAAGAGACTAGCTTTATGCAGTGAGACGTGGAATCTTGGAAACTGAATTCCGGATCGGAAGCGTCTTGTGTCGTCAAATGCACCGGGCAAACATCATCATGCGCCAGCTTGGACTGTGGGACGAACAGAAATATCGCGGCAGCGGCAGGCGGTTGATAACTCCACAATTCCTCCACGAAAACGGCCGTCTAGACCAATCATACATATGAGATGCCTGTTCTGCCATGAGGCTTGCCGGTGACGGTGTGATGAGACCTGCGGCCCGCTTCTCGAGAGTCTACGGCACTGGCGAGGCGCTTTCGTAGCCCATCCGGGATCAAAGTATCGGCTTGGTGTGATATCGATCAGTACGTAAACATGCTCACTTGCAGGTTAACGTCGCTTCACGACAGTTTCTTCCCATGTTTTGTTACATATTTTCATAGTTGCGCTGCAGACCTGCAGACACTCCACGATCTCACCTCGTCCGTAGGCGTTCACAACGAAAGAAGACACAACATAACTATTCAGTATGCTGATATATATGATCAACTTGGTAAAGCATCTGAGGTATTGGACATGAAAGAACGTATCTATCTTAGAAGAGACTTCCCGTCCAGAGACTCGTGTTTCTCCAGCACGCTGCGTACCATTCATCGTAGAGAAGTCGCACATTCACTAGCAAAAACAAATCATTAGCATCTAAATCGTATCATATTTTCATTACAATCATCATACACAAATTACACTATTCACATATCCCCCCTTCACCTTCGACCCCACTCTCACTCAATCCCTCTCCCTCTCCCTTCCCCTCGGCCCACCCCCCAACCCAAGCCCATCCTGCACACTCGCCCTCCTCAAAAACCTCATCCCGTCCGCCGGACTCATCATCCGCGGCCCCGGGCTCGGACTCCCTCCCCCCACACTCCCACTCCTCTCGCTGCCCACCAACCCCATCGCCCCTCCCGCTCCCCCGCCCCCCAAATCCCCGAGCACGCCCGCCGGCATGTTCAGACTCGGTATGCTCGCCTCCGGCACCGCCTCCAGCGTCGTTGGCCGCATCGCCCCGGGCGTCGTCATCGCCTGCGGCGGACCCCGCTCCAGCGTCTCCCGGTAGAACGCCTCCAGTCCCTTCTCATCCTTGCAGAACCGCTCCACCTCGAGCAGCAGCGCGATCGGGTCCACGGCCGTCGGCGGAGCCGGCGGTGCGGCCTCCTTCACGGCGCCTCCTCTCAAGGCAGGCGACCCGCCCGCGTAGAAGACAGGCTTGACCATCGGCGAGCTAATCGGCGTCGGCTCCGGGATCCCAAACGGCGTGTAGCTGCCCACGGGAATAATCCGCCCCGCCCTCTCCACGACATTATTCCCCCCTCCCCCCGCCGCGCTCGCCTCCCTCATGTCTTTCAGCTCCTTCTCCCGCGCCGCCGACGCGCGGTTGCTAAATAGCCGGTTCGCCAGCACCAGAAAATCCCCCTCGTCCGTGATCTCCGCCAACAGCACGCCCGACCGGTGAATGTACTGCGAGTACTTGAATTCCGGCCGGCCCCAGCTGTAGCTCACCTCCACGTCCCTAGGAAAGTCCGCCGCGGCCTCCATGTCCAGCACGAAATCCAGCCGGCGCATCAGCGCCTTCTGGTAAAAGTGCTTCCCAGGCGCCGTCTGCGGCGCGAACGACCCGGGCTCGTAGTACGTCACGGGCTGCTGCGCCGGCGGCGGCGCCGCGAGCTTGATCACGTACGGCCGCCGGAACGGATTCACCTCCGTGATGGAGCACGCCTCCTTGATGGGCACCTCGACGAGCCTCAACCCGTGCGTCGCCGCCTCGCGCGCCCAGCCCTCCACCACGTCCTCGATCAGCTTCGCGGTGACGTTCATCCAGTCGATGCGGATGTGGTAGCAATTGTCCGGGTTGTGCAGCCTGTCGTAGTGCAGGTCGATGCGCTCGGGCCGGTATGAGCGCTTGCGGTGGTCGACGTCGTATTTGATGACCTTGCTGAGCACCACCTTTGGCATCTTCTTGTTGTTAAACATGATGGACGCCGTTGGCGTGGTGGACCCGGAGTTGGGCGAGTTTTCCTCGTTGATGGACATGGGCCGGGAGATGCGCGGCGAGTCGCGCGGTATCGTCTCCGACATGGGCGTCGATGGGACCGAGAGATCTTTGCGGCGGGAGTTGAACCACCCGGGCTGCGGCTTGGCGTACTCGCTAGCGATAGAGTAGAAATACTGTCCGTCTCTGAAGGGATGCCGGCGCTCAACGTGCTCAAACAGGCCCCCGCGGTCCTTCTTATCGTCGGACCGCTCGTACGTTTCCACCATCAGCATCTTGCCCAGCTGTTCCGCCTCCTCGCGGCTGTCCAGGTCTTCAAAGTTATCCATAAGCCACGTCGTCATGTCAGAGCCGATGAAGCAGTTGTAATGCAGGCGTAAATGCCACCGTCGGTTCTGCAGCTTCACACCTCCGCTCTCGACGGGTTGCTGGATCGCCTCGGCCAACGCGGCAAGATTCAACCCAGACTTGCGGAACCGCTCTTTGGACGAGATGAGCTGGCCTCTCCGGTTGCCGTCCATGCCTTCGACTAAGGGAAGGTTATCTAGTTCCGCCGCAATCACGACGGACGGGTCCTCCGTCTTGTACACGATATCCAGCGGATTCGGGTCCCGTCGCGAGTTCACAGTCTGATACCGCCTCTCGGAAGGCGGGAGATACCGGTGCTTCTGCCACGATAGCGACAGCCTCCTGATCCCCTCCAACCGCACCTCCTCCGCGTTGTCACCGGCCTGGTTCCTGGGCACGGCAGAGTACCGAGACACCATCGGGATCAACACAAACCTCGCCCTCCAAAACCTTAAGTTCTCCGTCATCTCGTCGTGATGCCCCGCCAGGTAGGAGTCGATGTAGTTCCAGTTCCTCTCCGGCTTCGGCGTCGAGATGTCAACCTCCTGCGTCTGGTACCCGGAATCCATCAACGTCCGGATCGCAGGTCTATATAGCGGCCCACCGGTCGCGTTCCCGCCAATCGTCGACGCCGCCGGTTTGCGAATGTAGATGTTCACCTCCACCTCGGTCCCGTTAACGCACGAAAGCTGGTGGATCACATTCCCCACGCTCATAAATATGCTCGTCCCGTCCTCCATCGCCTGGTCCCGCGAGAAGATGTCCGCGATCCGGAGCAGCCTCTGCCCAAAAGCCTTCGCCACAGACGGCCCAATCACGACCTGGAACCCCTGAGAGAACCGCAGACTGATGAGCTCGCGCAAAAACTCCTCCCGCGACTTGGGCTCCTCACTGAGCTCGTCGTCCGCATTCTGCGCAATCACGTACGGCTGCCGCTGGTATTCGGTGTCGAACTGCGACTTGCTCGGGAAGTACTCCGTCGTCAGCGGCACCGCGGCCGGGCAGCACAGCGCCTTCCACTTCATCACCTTCATCTCCGACGTCCGCGGGAACACGTGCTGCCACCGGCTGTACAGAACCGTGTCGTCGACTTTGTTCCGGTCCGGGTTTGACGGGTTCAGCACCGTCAGCCATGGCGAGATGGCCGTCGTAGGCGACAACGTAGACGGCAGCTCCGGCATCGCCCCGGCTCTGAGCTTGCTGTTGAACATCTTCTGGTTGTCGTCCTCCGCCCTGAAAACGTTCGAATGCCGCTGATCGCGGTCCTCGAGGAAGATCTCCTTTCTCGCCAGCGACGGCGGCAGGACAGACCCGTACTTGTGCTGCTGCGCCACCGAGCTCTGACTCCGCCCGGAAGACTTCATGTTGATGGGGATGCTCGGCGTGCTCGGCAGATCCTTCAGCGTGTCCCTCGAGTCAGACCGGAAGAGCCCCGGTGTCATCGACAAGGCGGGCTTGATGACCTGCGGCGACGACGGCCGCGGCATAGTGGACATGACGAGCGGCGTCGTCGGGCTCGTGACGCTCTGCTCCGTCAACGCGCCCACCGTCTCGAAGCTCGCCTCCGCGGCCACGACCTTCGGCGCCGCCACACCGAAACCGCGAAGACCCAGGCTGATCTGCCGCATGAACTTGGGCGCCTTCGACGGCGTATTCGTGCCCGACGTCTTGCCTGCGGTACTGCCAGAATCCGGCGTCGACGAGTTCGTCGAAGACGAAGTCGTCGTCGCGGCCGCCGTCGTCGTTGGAGGATGAGCCGCCGCCCTCCTCGCAGCGGCCACAATCTCCGCCTTCTCGCTGTCCCCAATGTTCACGCTCAGCTTCCTCCCCGCAGCGACCGCCGCGAG